TTATTATAACCCACGTCTGGAGGAGGCAGGGTAGGAAAAAATACAATGAACTGGTCGTAAGATAACGGTTAGGTGTGGGATATGATGTGATTATTTGTCCTATTTTATTCCGAAGCAGTTTTATTAGATGTAAAAAACAAACAAAACAAGCAAAAAAATAATACTAACGAAGCAACATTAGCAACTAAACCACGCAAAAATAACCAAACACGAAATTTAAAAAAGGACAAACACAAGAACAACAACCAAACAACCACCAAACAACCCAAAACAACACGGAAACGACAAGCAAACAACAGCAATGACCTCTTCAACCGATTCGCCAATCTGCTTCCTCCCGTAATCGAAGGTTTCCCTGTGAGTCGCACGCACGCACACACATACACACGCACGCACGCACACGCACACGCACAACACACACGCACACACACACCCACACACACACACACACACACACACACACACACACACACACACACACACCACGAAAACGCACCACACACACACACACCACACACCACACACGAAACACAACACACACACACGAAACACGCACACACACACGAAAAACACACACACACACGAAAACACACACACACACACAAACACACACACACGAAACACACACACAACACACACACACACACACACAACAAACACAACACACACACACACACCACACACACACACACACACACACACACACACACACACACACACAACACACCACACACACACACACACACAACACACACGAAACACACACAACACACACACACACGAAACACAAAAAACACACACACAAACAAAACGAAAACAAGAAACATACCAGCCTTCCCTTGCGCGCTTTCTTCCAAGGAATGAATGCCAGTGCCAGTGCCGGAACAAAGGACAAAGACACTGTTAGCAGTGCCTTTGTTAAGCGACAGTGTTATGTTGCGCAAGTGAACAAAATAAACTCTAAATGAACACAGAATACTTGACGTTCATATGCGGCAGGTCGTATGGATAGACGGGGACTGTCTGTGACTGATGGATAGATGGATGGATGGATGGGGTAAATGGGGTAGATGATGGGTAGATGGATGGATGAGATGGATGGGGGGATGGATGGAATGGATGGGTAGATGGATAGATGGGATGGATGGATGGGTAGATGGATTGGGTAGATGGAATGATGGATGGGTGGTGCATACGTGCATGTATGATGGGTAGATGGATAGATAGATAGATGTATGTATGGGTTCTTATGAATGGATGTTGCATGCATGGGTAGATGGGATAGATGGATGGGTAGATTGGTAGATGGACAGATAGATAATCAAAGACATGGATATATGGAGACATGGATAGATGATTACATGAGTGAAAATTGATAAGTAAATTAATTATATGTAGGCTGATGAGGTGGTAGTTGTAGAGATAGTTAAATAAATAAGCGAATATATAAACTGGATGATAGATAAAATGTTAACCAAATTAATAGATATATAGATAGATATATGATGGAGATAGATATATAGATACATAGTTATATGATGGAGATTGATAGATAACATAGATAAATGAAGATATCGATAACTGCATATCTGAAAGGGTATATAGGTAAGATACAAGGATAAAGAAATGGGTAAATACGTTAATGAATAAGTATGACATTCTGACCATTTGACTGAAAACATCGACCTGCTAAAAAAAAAAAAAAAAAAAAAAAAAAAAAAAAAAAAAAAATCTGTAAGACTAATAAAAGCTTTAGAGTTATCTAATGTATTTTTCACATGGATTACTGTCAATCAAGCGAGTTGGTTCGGAGCAGAAATCATTTGAGTTTAACTAGGAAATAATGTTTTGCTTTGACATTGGGTTTGGTCGCTACGTCGCTGTGTATCTCCCTCTCGCTCTCTCTTGATCTTTCTCTCCATCTCGCATCTCTGCTCTCTTCTCTGTCTCTCTTCTCTTCTCACTCTCTCTCTCTCTCTCTCTCTCTCTCTCTCACTTCTCTGCTCTCGACCGTCTTCCCTCCCTCTCTCTCTCTCTCTTCCGTTCCTCCTCTCTCTCTTCGTCGCTCTCTCTCTTCGTCTCTCGCTCTGCTCTCGTGCTCTACTCACTCTCTCTGCTCTCGCTTCTCCCTCCCTCTCCTCTTGTCTCCCCTCCCCTCTCTCGTTGGGTGACTTGGACGGGCTTCTTCCTGCTTCTTGCCGATTATTCGCTGTTGCGCGTCGTCTGTCTACCTCCCCCAGCTTGCGGTGGGAGAGTGAGTAGTATTCTGAATCCCCACTCGCTCGAGTTAAGGTTACTTTATTCCACAGATGGAGGCTGCAATGGTCGTAACTGTGCTTGATGTATCTGCGGCTCACTTTCTACGGTTCGGCGAACTGGGGGGTCAGTATTTGGGGCTGAAACGCCGGGGAGAAACGAGAATTTCTGAGGGCTGGGTGGGTCAAAACAGGAAGCCAACACGGGCGGCGTGGGGGCTTGTTTGGGAGAGGAGGGCTGGAGAAGGAGTAGGGGGGAAGTGGAAGGTGATTGGGGGAATGTAGGGTCGGGTGGAGTGAGACGGGGGGGAGAGGGAGGGAGCGGAAAGGGAAGGTGGAAGGAAAAGGAGAGGGAGAGGGACAGGAGAAAGGGAGGAAGAGGAGAGTGGAGGATGAGAGGATAGGGGGGAAGAGAGGGAGGAGGAAGAAAGGGAGATGAGTGTAATATGTGGTAGTGGGGTGGAAAGTAGGGGAGGTGGGTGAGTGGGTGAAATGTGGGAGAAGAGAGAGGAAGTGTGAGTGTGTGTGTGTGAGGGAGAAGAGGAGATGATTGTGTGTGAGAGAGAGAGAAGAAAGAGAGGGGGTGTTGGGTGAGGAGAGAGAGATAGAGAGAGAGCAAAAAGGATGTCAACGTCGCTTGAAAACCGAAACTAAGTCACATATATACCATTTCACCTTTTTTCCTCACCTTCTCTGAGGGAGAAAATACGAAAGCATTGACTGCATTTCTCCATAAAACTCCCATAAAGCACAAAAGACGTTGAAAAGAATGTCTTGAGAATATTTCCGTTTCAAGAAAACACCAATATTTCGTTGCTTTTCGTCTCTCTCTCTCTCTCTCTCTCTCTCTCTCTCTCTCTCTCTCTCTCTCTCTCTCTCTCTCTCTCTCTCTCTCTCTCTCTCTCTCATCTCTTCTCTCTCTCGTCTGTGTGTGTGTGTATGTATGTGTATGTAACACACAACACACACACACACACACACACACACACACACACACACACACAACACACACACCACACACACACACACACACACACACACACACACACACATATAAACATCAACAAGGGTACTTCTCTCTCTTTGTTGTTATCATTCCATTTTCATTGGATCTTCAATTATCGTTTCCCTTCCATTCCTCCTTCGCTCCCCCTCTTCGTTCCAAAATGCCTCTTGTTTTATACCCTATATTTCCTTTCGTTACGACAAAAAGGGGAAAAGGAAGGAAGAAAAAAAGATCATTATCTTCGCATCCATCATCCTCATTCGGCTGAGAAATGAAATGAATATATTTTTTTTTAAACTGAACAAAGGTGTCTCTATCTAATCGATAATTACTTTAGTTTCCCCTTTTCGTTACCCAGTCGTGACGTAATGAGGTAATCTGATGATGGAATAATGATCTGAAGCTGTTATGTATGTTCCTGTGTGATGTCGTAATGTGATCTAATTCACTAATGGTTTTGGGCTTGATAGTGTTAAATGCATTGGTTGGTGGTCTCTCTCTCTCTCTCTCTCTCTCTCTCTCTCTCTCTCTCTCTCTCTCTCTCTCTCTCTCTCTCTCTCGCTCTCTCTCTCTCTCTCTCTCTCTCTCTCTTCCTCTCTCTCTCTCTCTCTCTCTCTCTCTCTCTCTCTCTCTCTCTCTCTCTCTCTCTGCATCTGTTTGTTTGCCTACCTATCAATCTATCCATTTATATAGTTATCTCTTCCTCCCCCCCCTCTTTCTCTCTCTCTCTACTCTTTCTTTCTGTCTCTGTTTCTCCTTCCTTCTTTCTTTCCTTCTCCCTCGTTTTCTATATTTCTTTCTCCTCTCTCTCGTTTAACCCTGATTAATTTCTAAATTTTGGTTCATTATTCTGTACCTAAAGTTCTGCTTATATATTTCTCATTTCTCTATTTATTTCTTTTTTTTAATTCATCTCTCTCTGTCTTCGTCATTTTTTCTCTTCTTCCTCCTACTTTCTTCCTGCCTTTCCCTTATTCCTTTTTTCTTTTTCTCTCGTTCTTCTCTCTTTCTCTATATTTCCCTTCCATCTTTCCCTCTGTGTCGCTTTTTTTTCTTTCCCTTCTCCTTCCCCTGTTTACTGTTTTCCTGTTTTCCTTTTTCTCATACTCCATATCCTTCTCTTTTTCCTTCTCTCTCCTCCTATCCCACCAAGCTCTCAATTGCTGTTTCCTTTTTCGCCTTTTCTCCTCTTTTCTCTCCTGTTCTTTCCCTACTTCTCGCCTTCTCCCTTTTCTTCTTCCTGTCTTCATCTCTTTCCCCCTCGCCCTACTTATTTCTCTTCCCCTATCTCTATCCCTCTCCTACTTCATTCTCTCTATCAATATTACTCCCTATCTCTCTCTTTCTCTTTGTTCGTCTGTCTCTCCCTCTTTCTGTCTTTCTCTCTCTGTTCGTTTGTCTCAAACTCATCCCCCTTCTCTCTCTCTCCGTCCGTATCCCACCCATCCCCTTTCTCTTTCTCTCTCTCTCTCTCTCTCTTCTCTCTCCCTCTCTCCGACCGTATCCCACCCATTCCTTTCTCTTTCTCTCTCTCTCTTCTTCCCATCCCCTTTCTCTCTCTCTCTCTCCCTCCGTACCCCACCATCCCCCTTCTCTCTCTCTCTCTCTCTCCCTCCTCCGTCCTCCCACCCATCCCCCTTCTCTCTCACTCTCTCTCTTCCCCACCTTTTTCCATCGACCCCCCCCACCCCACTTCTCAACTCCAAGCTCCCTCAGCATGTTAGCTACACGCCATTATTCTTAAGTGGAGAGCTACTATTCTTACATTCTTTTTAATCTTGGCTGACGACATTTACTTAAACCTAAGAGTTCTTGAGTGTTGCGACTGCTCCTCCTCTGTTTGTTTTTTTTCTCTCTTTTTTTTTCCTCTCCTTCGCTCCCTCTCTCTCTCTCTCCAACTTTTCTCCAAACTTTTACTTTTTGTTTGTTTGATTTCGAAGTTATCTGGAATACTTTTTGTGTGTTTTTTTTTTTTTTTTTTTTTGAGTTTTTATCTTTTAATGAATATCAATCAGGAAAGTCAAGGGCATCCTAAGTGTTAATAGCAATAATATATTCTTTATCATTATTATTTATTGTCTCTTACTGGTTAATCATTAAATCTCTCTCTTTTTCTCTCCTTCTCTCTCTCGGTAGCTTTCTCACTTTCTCCTTCTCCCATCCTTCATCCCCATCTCTCTCTCACTCTCTGTCTCTATCTCGCTTTCTCTCTCTCTTTCCCCCCTCCCTCCCTCATCTCTCTCTCTCCCCGCTTCCTCCCTCATTTCTTTGTCTCTCTCACTCACTCACTCTCTCTCTCCTTCCCTTCCTCTCTTTCTCTATCCCTCCCTCCCTCCTTCCTCCCTCCCCCCTCTCTCACTCTCATCCTTCTCCACCCCCTCTGTCTACTTTCCATTTCTCCTTTCTCCTTTCAGCACTTAGTGGCCACCCATTCAACTTGCATAGGATAATGCCAGGAAGGAATTGATGCATGGAAGGGGAAGAGGAAGGAGAGGGGAGAGGAGAGGAGGAAGGGAGAGGGGGGAGAATGGAAGGGGAGAGGGGGTAGAGGGCTGGGGGCTGGGAGGGGTGAGAGGGAGGAAGAGGGAAGGAGGAAGGAGAGAGAGAGGGAAGGAGAGGGACGAGAATGGAGGGGGAGAGGGGAGGGAGGGGGAGGTAGAGGGGGTGGGAGGGGAGGAAGGGGAGGAAGAGGGAAAGGGTGCGAAAGGGTTGGTAATAGTGGTCATTTCAAGCAGAAGTTTAAGGCACTTTGAGCCCCATATCTACAGGTAAAGTCTGAAATTTGCATAGAAACACTGATAGAATGAGATGAAAGAGAGAGAGAGAGAGAGAGAGAGAGAGAGAGAGAGAGAGAGAGAGAGAGAGAGAGAGAGAGAGAGAGAGAGAGAGAGAGAGAGAGAGAGAAGAGAGAAGAGAGAGAGAAAGAGAGAGAGGAGAGAAGAGAGAGAGAGAAAGAGAGAGGAGAGAGAAGAGAAGAGAGAAAGAGAGAGAGACAAAAGAGAGAAAGAGCGAAAAAAAGAGAAAGAAGAGAAGAGAGAGAAAGAAAGAGAGGGAGAGAGGAAAGAAAGAAAGAGAGAGAAGAGAGAGAGAGGAATAGAAAAAGCAAGAGAGAGAGCGAACGCAGCGGGCGCAGTTGTTTGAACCCCGGGCGCTAACGACGCCTCTCCTTGCAACATCATCATCTCTCCAACGTGAAGCGGCATCACAGTCGTAAATCTATCCCCGCCATGCCAATACCATCCTTCAGTCAGGGGGGCCGTAAAGACTACATTTGCCTGCCCCGGGCGTCGCTCCGGTCAGCCTCACTATTACCTCTTCGGGTGAAATTCCGTTTTCGAAATCAATGCCGGATACCGGAGAGAAATATATGTACAGAAAAAGGAATATTCGGGGATATTTGTCCTGAAATTCATCCATTCATCCGTCCCGCCATTGAAGCTCTCGCTCTCAATAATGTCAAAACGGTTTTTCGACCTTTTGATTTCGTCGGATGAAAGAGATATAAAAGGATACAAAGAGATTGTGCCATGATAGTGATTGTCTCTTTTGAATTAATCATGGCACAGGAGGGCCTATTATGATGATTATGATTATGTAATATTATATATATATATATATATATATATATATTATATATATATATATATATATATATATATTATATATATATATTTTTTTTTTTTTTTTTTTTTTTTTTTATGCATCTATATCTATATGTATGCATACATTTATACATTTTTCAACACATGTATACATATGTATCTATATTCCCACAAATTCTCCTATTCAGGTAAGTATTCATGTACGTAGCCAGACCAATTGCATAGTTGATGAACATTACGCGGCCATAGAATATATGAGTACACAGCATCCCTTTATGCTTTGCTGTTGATTTTTGGCATGAATCATACATTCGGTGGCCCTTGACCCTCTTTCCTTCTCTCCCTCTTCCTCTCTTTGTCCCTCTATCTCCTCTCGTCCCTTATCTCCATTTCTCCGTCCCTCTGTCTCCTCCCCTCTCTCTCTCTCTCTGCGTCTCCTTTATCTCACTCTCTTCCGTTTCTCTCTCCTCTTCCTCTCTTTGTGCCTCTCCCTCCTTCTATCTCCATTTCTCCGTCCCTCTGTCTCCCCTCTCTCCCTCTCTGTCCCTCTATCTCCCTCTCTCCGTCCTTCT